ACGGCTTATTCAGTTATTTGCATGCATGATCGGTTACGTTTGAATCACGTCGTGTTGATTGACTGCATGTAGAAGGATCATGTTGCATGTAGCCTAGTACTGCTAAGTTGTGTGCGCATCATGTAAGTGTGGCATGGTGTAATGATCCCGCGTTGTCCGAAGAAGTCGTAGCATTATGCAGTGATGCATAGTGAACGCCGTGGCGAGATGTGGGTCGCACCCATAGGCCATGATACACGACGGTGTATTGAGTTCTGATGGCTGTCCCATAGAACTCGGAATGTTGGAAGACTATGTGTCTTACATTCCAGTACCGGAAACYTGAGTGGAGGGGTCGGCACAGGGCCCATATGATGGTTTCGTATAGGCATAATGGTTTGGTCGGTTAATGTAGAACTTGCATTACGTTGCATTGTTTTCTGCCTTACTTCATAATCTGCTTACTCGCTGCTATCGTTTGCTTGGGGATTTGGGTGGGTTGTTTCAGGCTCTGCTCACTGAGTAATTTCTAAATTGCTCATCCCATCACTTTTGTCCTGCAGGTAACCTTAGGAAGAAAGCTTGTAGCTGGTTGCATTGGACTTAGGAAAGCCCAAGTAGGTTTTCCGTTGCTCTTGCAAAACTCCTTCATATATATATTATGTACGGTTTTGAACCTCGGATCCGACGTATATATTTTGCCAAGGTTTTCCGTATATAATATATACTAAGTATGAACGCATGTTTTTCAAACGTTCGCAAGCGACACTGCTGCGCTGATCTTGTCCGGATCAAAACCAATCGTTCTGGCCCGATTCGGGTTGCAAAGCCTTAGGATCGAGACAGAACGGGTAAACTGATCCGCGGACAGTTGGTCCCGAGTTCCTTAATCCATTTCTGGAACTTAGGATCGGCCATCCTCGGGTCAGTACGTAGCGTTCCCGGTCAAAGGGTGTTACCCGATGATCGGGAGCGTTACACCGGCCCTCGACGAGACGTACCAGTGGGTTGCTAGGAACTCGTAATAGCTTGCTGTGTTCTTTAAGTTTCTGCAACAAGAAAGAATCAAGTCATTAGAAGGACATCAGAGTAAGATCGGAATTGAATCGGAGTGTTTAACAAGGTAAAACAGAGAGTTATAACATACCGGATTCACAACAAATGGTATCAGAGCACCATGCGGTGCAGTAAGTGTTACGGAGGATCATCAGAAGTTGTGGAGATTATCAGTCTTGATAATCTGAGGCCAAGCATCTGCGAGGAGAAGAGACGGATAAGGACTGGATCTTAAACAGAGATATGTTTTTTGAGATTCGGATCAAAGACAGCCTGCAATCACTTACCAGTCTTTGAAGAAAGAATCTGGTGAGATCGCTTCTAACTTGAATCTTTACTTGAGTTTTTTGTGTGTTTCTTTTCTTGGTACTGCTTCAAGTCT